TCCAGCTGGAAACGATCTCTGATTTTATTGAATTTGTTTCTGCTGATAACAACCAAACTAAAAAAAATACTAAATTAATATTTTTATATACATATTAATTTTAATTCAAAATATACATTCACTTTACTTTGCCTGTTGCATTCATAAAAAAACTGATGAAATATATTTTGATCAGCAGAACATAATAAAGAAAGTTAATATTTAAAAACTAAAGCCTTGTGTTTTGATCCCTCATGAAGAAAACAATCTGCTGTCTGTAACTCGTATTCAAACATCAAGGTCCGTTCTGTTTACTGCTCGGAGGAACAGGAAGTGTTTACTCGATGGAGTATTTCTTCACTCGTCTCCGTTTATTATTCACTTGTAAACATCCACATCTCCACAGCCTGCCAGCCTCCACTCACAGCAACAGGTTTTATCAAACCATGACTAAATAATTCAGTGACAGTTAGTAAATGAGATGATTCACTTCTCCTTAATGACATCTGTCCTGTTCATCTTCATCAATAATTCAAACTCCATTATTATCCAGCTATACCACCTCCCTGTTTGGTTCTGAGATATAGAGGACCTTTTAGATCAGTGTTATTTATTCCTGTGAGACGTGCAGTTGACCGTGAATGGAGGAAGGAACCAGAAACTAGTCAACAACCTTCTAAAAAGGTTGAATTTAGTCTCCTCTTGTTCGCTCTGCGGCCCATTAGCTTGATTGCATTTTCATTTTTCATTGTCTACATGGCATTTCCCAGTGTGTTGCTTTCTTGTCTACAAGGTGTGCATAATGTATGAGCTGATCCAGCCATTGGGGGTTTGCCCATTCATCACATGCATTCTCTTAGAAATTATTGTGTCAAACAATACAGGACCCAGAGGAGCAGCTCACATTTTTTACATTAAATTAGTGACATTATTTAAACTGGTGCACAACAAGGTCACGCATTGCATCATGTAGTTAGTGTCTGCGCTCCTCTGACTCATGGAGACGAATCAGTTACATCAGAAATGATGGATGAAGACGGTTTGGTCAATTTTCATGACTTCTCATAAGAGCTGTGGTAGATCGCCCTGGCCTGCAGGTGGCAGCGCTGTATTTACCTGTCGCTCCAAGGGCCGCTCCACTCCTTCTCTCCCCAAGGGTTTCTCATGCGGATCATGTGAAGCTTCTCCGACTTGAAGAAGGCCAGCAGCCCGTGACCCAGCCGAACCTTCCGGACATCTGTCACCGCATAGGCGTGGCCTTTGACCAAACCGCAGTCCAGCCGTGCCTCCATGTCTTCTACCGTGGTCGCCTGGAAAATGTTTAACAAAGTCAGACTTTTGGAGGACTGCACTCAAGCCCGTCTACGTTGGCTGAATCCCAGAATCCTTCACTCTGCAGTATATGAGAGCCATAAAAATCAATGGCAAATGAGTATTTGCCCAACTTTTTTTTTCACTAGTGTAAATGTTTAGTGTTATTTTTTTACATTTTCACAGACAACATTTCTAAAGTTAACTCTGGCAGATTAAACCAGAAATGAGGGCATCTGCTGTGGTGGCAACAAAATAATGCGCATGGCGAAGAAGGTTTGCTAATTGTAAACATAAAAGCCGGTTGCGATTTTCAAAAATTTCCGCAGATTACTGGTAGTCTGATAGAAAACCCTCAAAAGTTCAGTGAGGCTGCAAAGCAAAATTAAACGTATTTTCTCACATTTTCAAGTCAACGATCAGTTTCCAACAGTCGCAGCCCAGTTAGTTAGCACCTTAAGGTGCTAAGAGTCATTTTGTTTGTAGCTCACCCTGATGGAGCAGCTGATGAGGCCGTCTCTGTTGTGCACTTTGAGAACTCTTTCAAACAGCTGATTACGGGCTATTTCATCTGTAGCCATCTGACCTTCCAGCAGGTCCACTGGCTCAGAAACTCCACCCGTAAAATCCACCAGTGCATCAGCGGTGTTTCCCCCATCCAAAGCCTCGTAGCAGCCGTACACTCTGGAGGAAAAGGAGGAGTCTCTGTATGCTGCCGTTTCTCAAAAACAAAACTACTTGCAGCTTTCGCTTACGTGTAAAATCACAACATAAAATGAAATTATTATTTTCCTCCACATCTGTGGCTGTATATTTGCTGGCACAGAAACTAACTTGGCATAGGCCTTCTCCACCATGGCGCTCCAGAACTCGTTGCTGTCGTTGGAGTGGCAGTAGACGAGCTGGTTGTCCACTGTTGGTAGCCGGTCGTCAATCACCACGTCCACCCACTCGCCGAAGCGCCAGAAGCGGAAGTGGAAAATCCCTGCGTACGAGTCAGGTTTTTCTGTGTCCCATTCCTGCTCCTTCCAGTCCGGAATGACCTGCAGCAAAGACAAGAAAAAAAAGGTGGAGGAAGAGGAGAGGAGGGACAGGTGAGCAGCTTGAGTCGTGTAAAATCAGAGTGGACAGCCACAGAGAGAGATCATGTCCCCTCGTGTCATTTAGTGATGGGCAATAACTCATTTAATCATAAATCCAGCTGTCATTGGACAAAAATCAAATGATATAAAAATACAATTTTGTGTGTGTTTGTTTTAACTGCCTGTATTTAATGTGGTGCTGCAATAACCCAAACTATATTTTGTAAATTTGTTTTAAGGTAAATATACTCACAACACCTCAAAGCAAAATGAACTCCTCTGAAATAATTCTGACACTGCAGAGTACTAAAACTGCTGTCGCTACATTCCTGCTGACCACACAGTGCTGCTCCACACCAGCCAGGTTTTATGCCAACCTGTAGGGTGGAGCAATCCTCCCAGACATCCTCCACCTCACCAGCTGGATCGGCAGAGGAAGACCACATCTGCTCTTCACAACCATCTGCCCTGCTCAGCCTGAACACCATCAATCAGGTGATCTGCTGCAAAGAGCCACAAGCCTCGACTCAAAATGAGAAATAATTATTTTTCTTTTCTTGCTATGGTTTGTTGTTAAATCTTTTAATTCGTGCACGGATCCATCTAGCTGTTAAGGCCCAGGGTAGGGGTGTGCAACCTATGGCTCTTTTGGCCCCTCTGCAGCGGCTCTTTCAAGCTTTGACCAAAACTAATAAAATTGAAGTTTATAGGATGTTATAACCACAACAATAAAATACTAGTTTGAGCAGTTTTCCTGTCATTTCCTTTGCAAATATGTGGATACTAGTACTAATACAGAGTAAATTATACTTCCTTTAACTTTATTCTTTATTTCTTCAAAGTAGTATACTCAATTTCTCTACAATAAAAAAAAAACACAAAAAACACAAGCCTGCACAGTTCATTGTTTTAGTAAAAAAAAAAAAAAAAAGCCAAAATAATATCTTATTTTTTAATCTTTAAAATAATCCAGTCTTCTGTGATAGACTAGTGACCCCCTGCAACCTGAAAAGGAAGAAGTGAGTAAAGATAATGGATGGATGGATCGTTTCTTTCATCTCAAAATGTAAAAATATCAATAAATGTTAATCATTAGATGTTTTTAGCTTTAGAATTTCACACCTACTGTTCAGAACCCCACCCTCTAACAAACTTAAAGTGGCCCACGGGGCCACCCCGGGACAGTGACAATTGTAGCAGGTTTTGTGGCTCTGGACATATTTAATTTAGTGAAGGAAAGGGTAGAAATAGCTCTTTTGATCGTAAATGTTGCAGACCCCTGGCCCAGACATTCACCAAGAGTACACCAAATTTACACAAAATACCTTCCACAGTATTTTTAGCGATATTTTTGCTCCCGTCTGTGCTTTAAATGAGCCATGAAGCACGGAGAATGAGCCTAATGTTATTTCCAAGGTTTAACCAAAACATATAGTCATGTCATTTCTCAACTTAAGACAGGCTTTGTTTAAAACTTTGCTGTAAAAAAACAGTGGGCGATAAACATTCTTTCAAGGAATTCAAGCTAGGCTTTAAGTTAGCCGATGGCCTAAAATTGTCTATATTTTAGTTTTGAGTTGAAATAGTTTGGTTTAAAAATATGTAAGCTATGCAAAAACAACTCAGCTGGGACAAATATATGATGTAAAACAGAGCATTTCTCAAGCTGCAGCCTCAGTTGACAAATAGATGGGACTTAATACGGTTTACGGTGACAATCATGTGAGTGAAAACAGTCAGACCACTGGTGAAACCTCCATCAGTGGGAACACGGTGCACAATCAAAGCTGCAAATGATGAAAGGAGCGACACCACATGTGAACTTTGTGACAGAGCTTCAATGGGTGTCCTTGGAGATGTCAACATGTGTTAAATGAACACCGGTTCCTGTCAAACCTCTCTGTGGGAGGCGGCACGGTGCTAATGGAGAGAATCCAGCCTCCCCAACTCTGTGAAGCAGCAACGCTTGTTTGAAAAACGAAGAGAGCAGGACGGGAAAAAAAAACGCTGCACCACCTATCTCAGAGTCGCGTCCTAATCCTGTAGGTCATCTTTCCTGCAGTCCATTTTTATTGCTCACTTTCTAGCTCTGCGCTGATGGTGGGAACGCTTCATTTATTTTAGCTTTTCATCTGGGCCGAGTGTCGCAGCAGCTGAACTCTAACGATCGATTCACCTGGACATGACCAGGAACACAGACACACATCATCATAACTTTCCCTGTGCTCTGTAAAAATGTTTATTTTTCTCTTTTATTTTTTCCTGTCCAAAACCAACTAATGAAAAGTTTCTTGGTGGAACTTCCTGTACCAGTTGTGTTGCAGTTGAGGATTGGTAACCAAGCACACAGTCAAAAACAAAGTGACAAACTGTACTAAGCTCAGCTCCCTGTGGGAGCTGTGCTTCTAAAAGTAATTAGATCTTGTTTGCTCCTGCCTCATCTGTATTTCTTTGTAAGACCCGCCCTCTGCTCTTAATGCCTCTCAGACATGAACAAACTGTGCAAGTCTGCAGAAACAGAGATTAGGAGTTAGTGGACAAAAAAAAAAAAGTCAAGAGGCTTTGACAGAGCTGACGAGTTAATACGGCTGCGCGGTTGGTATTGACCTCTTGGCTGCTGTGAACCGCTCGAACATGACTGAGAAGATTGAGCTGCCCTTCCGGCTGGACACTCAGCTGACGGAGGTGATGCGTCTGCGGGTCCAGTCTCTGCAGCAGCGCAGCCAGAAGAGGCAAGAAGGCGAGCGTTTGCTGCGGGCCAACGAGGCCGTCTACCAACTGGACTTCTCTAAACAATCTCTCCAGTTTTCACACTGGTCAGTGCACCTGGCTCAGCCAGGAAGCCTCACCATCACGGCCATCTCACAGTTCTGGACGCCAGACCTCACCAACCTGATGACACGACAGCTGCTGGAGCCCGCCGGGGTTTTCTGGAGAGCGCCTAATGATGCTTCGGACGCACCCATTCAGTGCTATGAGGCTGACGCGGCTGAATTTGGTGAGAGGATCGCAGAGCTGGCCAAGGTAAGGAAGGTGATGTACTTCCTGTTTGCATTTGCAGAAGGCTGCAGCCCTGAGACTGTCGACTGCTCCATCACCTTCAACATGGACAACTAACACGTGGCAAAATAAGCAAAACGGAAGCAAAATAGTCTTTAAGTGCTTGTATGCTTTTAACAAAAGACTGATTTTTAGGCAACTCCAACATATTTTTTGTATAAATTATTTCTCTAAAGTTTTTAAAATTCAGCTGATGTACTACAAGTAAACATCTGCTTCACAAACTTTGTACCTGTATATCTTTGTATCCTATAATGCTGAGAAGAAATGTAGCTAAGTTTTAATAAATCCCTTTTTTTGCACTTTTGTAATTAAAGTATGAGCATAGATTTATTTATTTACTTATTTTTAGATTGGGGCTTGAGTTCTGAACCAAAACGTTCTCCTGCCTCTCTTCTGGTTTGACAAACAGCCGGCCCTGAAGGGTTTGCAGGAGCCGAGTCCCACGTGAGATGATGCACAGAGACGGTGTGTGTTTGTGTGAATGTGTGCGAGTATTCCCCAGCAGATGAGGGAACAGGTTTCTGTTGCCTCCTCTCTCTCTGTCTAACGACCCTGACAAACAAGAGGAGAGGGGCATGTAGATTTCACCTCCTAGTCTCCTCCTCCTCCTCCTCCCTCAGGCTCACCCTCACCTCAACACACAACCACAGGCATGATGCAGTAACTGTGAATGAGAAGCGTCTGTGAAAGTGTAAAAAAAAGCATCTCAGACATTTTCTTGTCAGCACAAAGTGTCTAGTTGACACCTGAATTGTCAAAGCGCAGAAATAAAAAAATCTCAGAAGTCTTAATTACGGTAACGCAATCTTGCCTGAAGTTTTTATGTGTAGCTTCTAAAAATAAATAAACTGCTGAATGTTTTGAAGCAACCTGCTGTTGTTTAATCTTACACTGATTTTAAATCTACTCCTAATACTTGTGATTAAATAAGGATTTAAACCTTGATCTTCAAAATTTCACCAGCTGACAGATTTTAAATAGCGACCGTCAACACGTTAACTTGTCGCACTCTTGTGTACACTAGAGCAGTGGTACCCAACCACCGGGCTGTGGACCGGTACCGGGCCGTGAGTTAATTTATACTGGGCCGCACAGAAACCCCCCCCCAAAAAAACCCTTTGATTTTGAAAAATCACCAGATTTTCTCCACCACATCTGTCAATGACTCACAAACGAGTTTAAAGTTAACTTTGTTAGAAAGCTAATAGAAAGTGGGAACAAGATGACTGTCCTGATGCACACTCAATCCAAAGAGATAAATCTAACAAGGTTAACACCAAAGTTCATGCTCAATAATCCAGGTACAAATCCAACAATGTTCAGTCAGGCCATCTGGAGGGTTTCTTTTTTTGCTGAGAAGTTTCGTCCTTCATCCAAAGGACTTCTTCAATCTGACGGGCCACCAACAAACTGAGTCCCACAAACAGCATACAGTAGTCACGTGTTTATCGCGAGTGTTAGGGACCACGCCCACCCGCGATAAGTGAAAAACCACGAAATACGGACAAAGTAGTTCAAGTTCAAGTTCAGCTCAAGTTCAATAAACTTTGTCATGACATGTGCCAGGCTGTAATCACACTCACTCGTCACCTGTTACTTACAATCTCCTTCCTTAAATAAACAATTTAAATTTAAATACTCGTAACATTTTAAATAAACAATCCACGCAGCATGGATTGTTTATTTAAAATGTTACGAGTATTTAAATTTAAATTGTAGAGAAGAGAAGCGCAGCAGGACATCAAAGGATGTCACAGCTTCAGCTCTGCAGCATGAAGCAGAAATGTACTTCTTGATCAATTACACTGAAACAACTGAACACAGAAGTTCTAAAATAATTCAAAATAACTTTTAACACTTTTACATTTTGTGATTATGACGATTTGACGATGTGACATACTTTGAATTTTAAGTTGGAAGACTAAAGTCGATAGATGCATCCGGACAGCAAAGGGCTTCACAAAGTTGCAGCAGGAGAAACGTGTGCGTGTGGCAGAGAAGGAAATCAGCTGATCAGCTGCAAGAGAGCTTTGCCTTCCGCTTGTGGGCCAAATCATTTAAAATAATTTATTTTAAATAAACAACCCATGGCTCATCCAGTCAGCCAATTGTGTCATGTCCAATCTTATTTTGAAAAACTGCGATAAACAAACCACGAAGTAGCGAGGGAATAATGTACTCCATAGTGGAAACAAACAGTTTGCTGGTGATAAGATGGCCTCTGGAGTCCGCCCTCTCCCCCGTCAACGCCTCTGAGACAGTCATGCCAAAGTGGTTCAAAACACCAAAGTTCATGCTCAATAATCCAGGTAAAAAAATCCAACAAAGTTCAGTCAGGTCATCTGGATGGATTCTTCTTTGTTGAAACGGTTCGTCTTGCATGTGAACAGCTAGTTCTGGACGTCACCAACAAACTTGTTGATCCACCGTGAAAAGGTGCTGCTCACAAGACTGAGTTTGTTGCAGCTCCCCAGAATGAAGAAGTATTTTGGATAAAAGACGAAATGTTTCAACAAAGGAATCCGTCCAGAAGACCCGACTCAACCTTGTTAGAAACAAGATGCTTATTTTTCTGTTTAAAGACAAAACTTGTGAAAAGAATAAAGCTGAATTTAAATAAGCTCATTAAAAATTAGAGCTGCTTTACATTAAAACGATCAGGTTCAAGATGAAACGTGCTCGCTCATAAAGTGACTGACGCATTTAGCCAGAGATAGAATTAACTTATGATAATTTGTTAGCATCTGTTTAACAAAAAGGTTTTAAAGGGTTTATCCCTCCATCTGCCACTGAATTCATTCTTCCTCTATCTATCCATCCATCCATTTACACTGCATGCTAATTAGAACAGAGTAAACACTCTTGTAAAGGTTACACCCTGATAAAAATCCCATTCACTGGACATCCATTTAGTCTCAGCGCTTCCAGCTCGTCCTCAGAGACTCAGCATTAGTTTTCACTCATCGGGCTTCAGTGACTGATGGGAGAACCAGGAAGGAGCTGTGGTGCACTAATGAGCGCTGTGGTTTAAATGTCTGATGAATAATGGTCACTAATCGACACAAACATGGAAGATAGAATATTAAAACTATATTTTAGCAGTGTCCAATCAAAAACAAACACTAAGTAGAAAACCATATATCATTCAATGTTCTGTCATGAAGTTCATCACTACATGGACAAAAAAAAAAGGGTCATTAAGACCAAATCTGTTTTGTAGTAGGAGCTGGTTAGACTAATCGACTAGTCGATTCTGTGTCATCTCGCAAGTTTTTATATTTCACGTTGACTAGTCCCCCCCCCCCCCCCCCCCCCCCGCTGTTCCCAACCCTATTCCACCCAATCCACAAGGTGGAATAAATAAAATAAAACTAAAAACGGCAGCATTTTGCAGCTTGATAATGGTTTTGCTTTTCCTTTGACATTTGCAGTATGATAAATGGTAGGAGCATAAATATGTTTTGTTGTTCTTTTTTCTTTTGTAAATAAAAAATTACTTTTATATACTTATATATATATATATATATATATATATTTGCAAATATGATGTAGTGTCTTGAGTTCCTATGACGTCATCGACTAGTCGAAGCCGACTCGACTTTTATCACGTTAGTCGGCTTTTAAAAATATGTCGTCGTTTAACCCCTGGTTTGTATATAAAGGGTTTCAAAAGTTTTCATCTGAACAAGTTTTATAAGTTCATGTGGATTCAGCTTTAATATACTAATGATGATATGAAACAAGTCGAGATCTGATGGAGATCAACAGAGACAAATCACCATGAAGAAGAGGGAACCAGACAACGTCCACATACTCACTTTTTGCCACAGAGACTCTCTGGACGCCAAGCTTGAACACGCTGCAACGAACCAGCAGTTACCCAGCTGCCCCTGATGCAGATCATGTGCGCTGATGCCATTGACAAACAGGTGAGGGTCCTCACACAGCTCCTACACTCCGCCAAGCACAGAGAAACATGACAGTTAACTACACCGACTAAATGAACATCTGGGAGAGCATCGTTCAATATATTTTATTGAAGTTGCTTTAATTGTTTGAATTGTTTTGAGGCAAAAAAAGATTTTAAATCCCATTTCATGGGGGAAAATTCTCCATAATTGCTCAATTTTGTGTTTCTTATTGTTATACAAACAGCGATATCATAACATTATATTTAGAAGTTGACCAGTAGGAGTCTTTCATTAGTCGATGCTGATATAAACACAACATACAGCAGCTATATTGTGTTTGGACATACATATAATAGTTTATTACTAATACAGATTACACTACCAAATTTTAAAGAAGAAAAAAAGAATAAGAGTTTGAAGTAATATGACCAGTGCTTATTGTAGTAAAAACAGGAAAAACTGTGCTCAAGCACCCTTTTAATAGTTTCTTGATGAATGTTTTACTTATTTATATTTTTACACATTTATAGACAGACATCGTCACAAACCAAACAAAAAGCACCCCTTCCACAAAAAGGTACCATACTATGAAAAAGTGCAGAAGGGCTTAGAATCACTGCAACTCTGTCCTGACAGAGGGGTTTGCCCTTTTGTTTGTACAGTATGCTCAGGTTTGACAGATGCAGATAATTATTAATGTTTACTCATTTTTATTTACTAAACTGAGTGGAAGAAGGGAACTTGACTAAAAGGTTACCTGCTAAACCCAAAACTGTATAATATAAAATGAAAACCTGACACTTATGTTTGGTTTATCTATTTTTATGTGTGCAAGTGAACAACGGGAACTATTAATATCTTAATTAAATGTTTACGATTTGCTCCAATACTTTTGATCAGGGTTTTTTTTTTTTTAAATAATGGTGACAGAAAAGTGATTAGATGTCACAGAGGGGAAAAAAAAACCTCTTGAAAAGGTTTTTAGCTAGCATAGTTTGTGTACGATCCAAAGCAGACGTCAATAAAGTACAAACACGGGTTACTGCAAACAGTTGATGGATCAGAGAAACACCATCTGTCTGTTTGTATCCTCAGATCCAATTCACAACATTCTACACAAGAGTGGAGGCACAGCAAGCGTTTGTAAAACCACAT